GCATAGCTGTAATCTAATCAACATCTTTTAATGCTTCCTTGATCTTCTTGGGCTCAATTTGAGAGAGAAAAGCTGAGAAGGCAAGCGCGTTTCTTTCCTTTGATCTGGTTTAAATTCCTGAATCAAGAGGAGTGATCATATTTTCCAGAGGATGTGAACTTTTATGTTTCCAGTTAGATACTTGAACCTCGTTGTGGGATGGTCCATGTATTTCTGAATATTATTCTCTCTCTGCATGTGGGGTCCCTTAAACTGCATCAATAACTCTGTTTTCAGCTTTAGTTGTTGTGATTGAGGAACCGGGTTCCTCTATGTCAGCTAGAGATTCAGCTGTGCCATTGTCATTTGAATCCTTGACCTGGCTCATCATATCGGCCTTTCCATTTGCCATGTCAATAACTTCACCAGGGACATTTGATAACTCTCCATCTTAATCAGCCTTATCATGTGCAGCTTTTCCAAGAGGGTGTTGTGCTTCATCAAAGATCACTTGTATGCTTTCCTCAACACATTGAGGTCTTTTGTTGTATACCTTGTAGGCTTTGCTTTGTGATGAATATCCAAGAAATATTCCTTCGTCACTCTTGGCATCAAACTTTCCCAGAGGTTCCTTACCATTGTTAAGAACAAAGCATTTGCAACCAAATGTCCTCAAGTGTGTTAGCTTAGGTTTTCTCCCATTCAGCAGTTCATACGGGATTTTGTTAAGGAGGGACCTGATCATGCACCTGTTCACTAAGTAGCATGCAGTGTTGACTGCCTCTGCCCAGAAACCTTTTGCAACACCACTATCAATCAACATTGTCCTAGCCATGTCTTCAAGAGTCCTATTTTCCTCTCTACGACACCGTTTTGTTGAGGTGTTCTTGGAGCTGAAAAATTATGACTTATACCATTTTCAGCACAGAACTCGTCGAACTTTGCATTGTCTAATTCTATACCATGATCAGATCTTATACTCACAACATTATGGCTCATCTTCACTTGGATCTTTTTTACAAATGCAACAATTACTTCAAATATTTCATCTTTGGATCTGAGTAACAGAGTCCGGGTGAATCTGGAATAGTCATCCATAATAACAAAGATGTACTTCTTTCCTCCTCTACTTGGCATTCTCATAGGTCCACATAGATCCATATGAAGGAGATCAAGTGGCCTTGAGGTACTGACTTCCTTTTTGTTCTTGAACAAAGATCGGACTTGCTTTCCTTTTACACATGCATCACACACTTTGTGATTCTTGAAGTATGAGTTGGGCAGGCCACGAACCAGGTCCTTCTTGACCAACTTGTTTAGCAACATAAAGCTTGCATGACCCAATCTTCGATGCCATAGTTCAACATCATCATCTACATCACTCAGACAACTGAGATCTCCATTTTGCAGAGATTCAAAATCAGCAACATAGATATTTTTGTATCTTTTGGCCACCAAAACCACTTCACCAGTCACAAGATTTCTGACCGTGCATATTTTTGACACAAATTCCACCTTATTTCCCTTGTCACAGATTTGGGAGACACTTAGCAAGCTGTACTTCAACCCTTTCACGTAGTACACATTTTCAATTGAGTGAGTAAGAGACTTCTCAATCCTTCCAACTCCCATAATGTATCCCTTTTTGCGATTTCCAAAGGATACACTCCCTCCTTGCAGGGCTTTGAGTGAAAGGAGATCATTTGTACTTCCATTCATGTGCTTTGAGCAGCTACTATCCATTTACCATTGTTGGCTGCTCCTTTTCATGGCTCCCTGCACAAGGAAATCAAGGGTTAGACTTAGGAACCCAAACAAGTTTGGGTCCCTTGTAATGAGGAATTGGGTGAATCAAAGTTCTTTTTGTCCAAACAGGCAATACACGTTTGTTATATGTGGGAGTAGGGTTTTTTTGCAGTAGTTACTCTTTCAGCAAAAACTTTATTTTTCTGCTGGGACTGGAATCTGGCTTTACATGTTTTCTTGAAATGTCCAGTGTTACCACAATGAGTGCAGAGTCAGTTATTAGGAACATTAATGTAATTGTTGTGTGGGTTGTAAAGGGTTTTTCCTTTTGGAACCCGATTCCCTGCCTGTTCCCCCACTGTTTGTATACATAGCAGTGATTGCATCATGGGACCAGGTCCACTTAAGAGATTTTTCTAGGTCACTCTTCACTCTGCCTAGATCTTCCTGAAGTTGTCTGTTTTTCTCAAGCTCAGCACACAGACTAGATTTCACTGATTTTAGCTCATTTTCAAGCCTAAGGTGTACCTCGCTTGTAACTTCCTTTCCCTTTTGAGTGTTCATAGGCCTACTTTCCTTTCTTAGTTCCTTAATTATTTCCTTTAGGTCTACAACTACTATCAATAGGTCATCTATCTCATGCTCTATGTTTGTAATTCTCCCAGTCAAAATATCTTTTTCTCTTTTTAAACTCTCAATGGTCAATCTTAGATCAACTGAAACCACCACTAGATCATCTCTCTCGTGTTCTATTTCTCCTAGTTCCGTGGTTAGCACATTTTTATCATTAATGAGACTGTGATAAGCATCAATTAAAATATTAGCCAAAGAAATAAGCTTCTTTTGAGAATAGGACTTCAAATTTCTTTGAACATCCAGAAAGTTTACCTCATCTTCATCGTCATCTTCCTCATCCTCATCTGATTTAGCCATTAGAGTAAATATGGAATCATATTTAGCTGCTTCACATTCTACTGCCATCATAAAGCTGTCACCTTGATCATCATCATCTCCAGATTCGCTGGAGGAGTCTCCCCATACAGCAAAAGCTTATTTCATAACATTGTCAGCGACATCTTTTCTCTTGAACTTTTTGCCAGGAACCTGGTTCCTTTTGCCTCATTTATCTGTGTTGTGCTTGTACTAGTCTTGCTTAAGGAGAGGGTAGTCCTTGATGAAGTGTCTTGACTTCTCGCATTTATGTCATAGGTCATACCCTCTTAGCTTGCTTGAACTGCCCCTCTTTGGGATACCTCCATTTCTGCGAACTATTTTCTGAAGTCTCTTTGGCAAATATGCCATATCAACATCCTCATCTCTTAAGTCATTGTTGTCTGTATTTAGGACCAAGTTCTTTTCTCTTTTGTGCTCTCTTCTTTCATTGTTCTTCTTCTTCTTTATTTCATAAATTTTCATATTACCAATGAGTTCATCAATGGTCAGCTGCTGCAAATCCTTTACCTCTGTGATGGCGTTTACCTTACTTTCCCAAGAACGAGGTAATACACTAAGTATCATCCTAACAAGTTTGTTCCTGGGAATGATTTCTCCTAGTGAGTAAAGCTTATTGATGATAGAGGTGAAGCGAGTGTGCATGTCCTGAATTGACTCATCATCCTTCATTCTGAAGAGCTCATACTCAGTTGTCAATATGTTGATCTTCGACTGCTTGACTTGAGTTGTCCCTTCGTGTGCTGTTTGAAGAACTTCCCAGATCCCTTTAGCACTCTGACAAGCTGAGATGTAGTTGTATTTATGTGGTCCGATGCCACAGACAAGAATCTTTTTTGCCCTGAAATTCTTCTCAATAGCCTTTCTGTCAGCATCGTTGTACTCTTTTCTCATTTTTGGGATTGTAGCTGTTCCCTCACCAACAGTTTTCATGAGAACAAAAGGCCCGTCACAAATTATATCCCACAACTCTGAGTCCTCAGCCATGATGAAATCATGCATTCTTGTTTTCCATCAACCATAGTATTGACCGTTGAATCTAGTTGGTCTATACGTTGATTGTCCTTCCTCGAAGTTTGGTGGAGCAGCCATGATGAAGATCCTTTCTAGGTGTTAAACTTTTATAAAGAACTTGTTATGATACCAATTGATAGAAACTAAGGGTCCACCAAATTATATAGAGAACCAAGTTCTCTATAAGTTCCCACAGAACGCACACACACAACAGTAAGTAAATGACACAATGGAATTTTACGTGAAAAACTCCCAGCTCGTGGGATTAAAAATCACGACCTACCCCTGTAGGATTTCAACTTCACTACTGAGTAAACTTTAGATTACAATCTATTGTAACCTAGGAATTAACCTTTTAATCCCTCATTAACTTGTAACAACTCTATTACAAGCCACTTTGTAATAACTCTATTACAAAAATTTACAACTCGACTAACTCTAGCCAAAACACAAATATAGATTTTATGATTTAACAAAAGTTTCCTACATAATTGATTCTAACTAAGTTGAGTAGGAATTACAAGTAAAGAGCTTAAACAAAGGTGCAACACAACTAAGGATATGTAATGACTCAATGCTGGGAACTGGTCCTTGTTATGTTGTTCTTTGTTCTTGAAGCACTTGAGAATCGATTTCTGGATTGATGCACAGACTTGAGAGCATGATAGATGGATTCTTCAATGTTCAAGTGATGTTTTGCCTTTGGTTTAATGTTAATATAACACTAGTGACATCACTTGAATGATGCAAGCATGTTTGGCCCAAGAGCATTCCCAATGAAGTTGACTGTTGCACTGTTGCGTATGCAGGCAACAACTTTACAGCTGTTGGGAAATTGACTGGCACGGTCACCAGGAGAACTGGTGTCCATCTGTTCCCCTTGTTATTTCTTTGACTTCTAAAGAGTTGATTTACGTCTCCGGCTTGAGACTTGTTATTCTCACGTACTTGGGGATGTGTATCAGGTTCCTTATCTGGTTCTTATCATTAAATTTGTTAGATCATTAAAATACAACAAGAATTCATATATCCTATGCATGCATCCTATCAGTTAGCTAAGCCAACGTGGTGTAGGTACTACATTCGGAATATGACTTTGAAGCCTCCATGAATCATCTTTATCATGTGGAGCAGGGACATAAGCAAATCTCAGAATATGACTTTGAAGCCTCCATGAATCATCTTTATCATGTGGAGCAGGGACATAAGCAAATCTCAGAATATGACTTTGAAGCCTCCATGAATCATCAATGAAATGACCAGTTATAGCTATAAACCCTTTTTTGTTACTATTAGAAGTCCACATATCGGTTGTTATTGCAATTCTACTCGTGACTTTCTCCAACAACTTAGAAGTTTGCGATTTAAAATTGTCAAAAATTTTCATTATGTCATTCTTGATTGTATTTCTGGAAACCATCTTAATCATAGGCTGGAGACTCGCAACAAAGTTCCTAAATCCCACATGATCAACTATAGAGTGGATACTCATGTAAACTAATGGCATGTGCAAGTTGTTTACGTGAAACATCTTGATCAAAATAACCACCCTTAGTATCACCCTCATTTTGTACATCTCTTGGCCTATTAGGACACTTAGGTATGTGATCTAACATAGATTTTGTACCATAATTTCTAGCATTTTTATATCGGCGATTGCAATACTTACAAACATCATATGGAACACCATTAAACTTCACCGGCTCGAAATGATTCCATGCTCGAGAATATCTCCTTTTTTCCATTTCAACAACTTCATCAGATTGTAAAGGCCTTTGACTCTCATCATCTAAGGAAATAACATTAGAAGATGAAGCTGGCAGATTCTCTTCATTTTGAGATGCCATGATTATCTAGTAAAACAAAGACAAGAAATATCACTAAAAGCTGATATTTAGAAACACAATTATAGGAGAAGAAGATCACAGAGACTGTAACTATCCGTAAATTTAACGCTCAAAATATTTTCTTTCCCCTGATTTTTATCATTCAGATTGACTGAAGAATCCACCAAAGTGAGTCTTCAGAATCACTGATCCTGTTGAATAATGTAATTAAAGGTTAGGGTGGGGGTGCTATGATTAATTAGAAAGTTAAAAATCAGCTTTAATTTACAAAAGTATGAATACATAACTAGAAAAAAGGTATTTGCTAACTACCAAGCAAAACAAGAAATAAAACGATCCCAAGTCAACAGGAGAAAGTATATGAAAGTTGAATATTTGCGAGGTTAACCAGTATTTCAATTGATAATACACCTTCAATCTTGTATTTCATATTCAGTAGAAGTTGTGAGTAAGAAGTTGAGAGAAAGAGAAATCGAGAGCATTACCTGGATTTGCTGGAGAAAACTTTGCCCTGATACCGGAGAAAGAAGAATCGAAGAAGGTTTGAGGTTTGAGGAAGAAGAATCACAGCAGTTCAAAGAGGAAGAAGAATCGCAGGAGCTCAAAGAGGAAGAAGAATGGCAGGATAGTTTCTGAGTTTGGGAATTTGGTTTGAGCATTTGGGGATTTAAGATTTGGGGGAATATACAACTATTAACCCGTATGTGCCCTACCCTACCCTACCCTATTAACTATTTTAAAAAATAACACTTTGCCCTGCCTTGCCCTGCCCTGCCCCATTAAAATCTTCCCCTGCCCCGCCCCATTTAAGGTTATCCCTGCCCCGCACTGTCCCAATTGCCATCCCAGTCCTCTATGGATAATGATACCAGGTGAACAGGAATTCGGCTAACCTTATTTCAACTTCTCTTTGTGGCAGAAGGTACTCTAAATCAGCCAGCATAAGTGGCATAGCCTTAAGATCAACACAGGAGACTAGAACAAGGTTCCGAAGTCTTGGGAAGGGACAATTTGATGCCTCCCATGTTTCAAATTTTACGTTTTCAATCCGCAACACCTGGAGTTTCCTAAAACCTCCTGTTTCCACCTTCCAGGACTTCCATGTGAACACATTTTCTTTCAACTTTAAGACCTCTAGGCATTCCAGCTGCCCCAATCTATTAGCCTCGTTCCACTCAAACCTTGTTTTTGATAGAGTGAACTTCTTCGGTTTCGGTAAACATTTGAAGAATACTAAATGAAGGTGAAAAGCTTTACTTATGTCATCATTGAGCAGTGTCAAATTTTTCAGGTGCCGTAGCACTGGAAAATTGCTGAACTCACCCTTGCTAGCTTCAAGAAAAACCTCTAATTTCCCTTCAATACTCAATCTTTTAAGATTAACAGCCTTTGCAAGCACATCTTCCTTGCAGCTTTCTGGTGCAACCAGAGAAAGAGTTTGCAAGCATGAACTTGTAGAGGTAGTAGGGAGTGGCAATTTTGCAGGTTTATTGGTGTGCAAATGGCGCAACCGTGACATGTTCCATATGTCAGCTTTTATATCAAGGGTGGGCTTCGAGGTATTAAGCACAAGAGTTTGTAAATTCCAGAAATAGCTGAAGAGTTTAGGAAGTTCATTGAAATCACCTGACATAGCAATATACCTCAAGTGGAATAGCTGGTAAAAATCCTTGGAAATACGAAATTTTAGAGATTCAATCTTCAGGATCCTGATAAGTGGAAATGCTTTAGGGATGCGTTGGACGTCAATATTAGAAAGGTCAATTTGTTTTCTTTTTGAGGAAAAACATAAGAAAGATCTAACATGATATGTAGTTGGATTTTTGGAGATAAAATATTTAGGAACAGATGATTGAATAGACAATCGACGAGACTAAGTATTTGAGTTTTGTATAGAAGGACTATCTTGATCGGGTGTGAGACATACTTGTTGGATAAGACTTAGTCTAGTAGCCTCCTTAAAGCAAAACTCATGTAACATGTCGTGAACACGACATGTTTTTATTTGACCGTTACACCTCTTCTCCAGCACCATCACTAAATTACTATTTGCAAAGTCATTCTAATGACACTCTGCTATATCCTCAATTTCACTACCTGCCAAGTTAGACATTATGAGCCCCTCAGCAATCCACATGCGAATCAATTTCCAAGCTGGAATATCAAAACCCTGAGGAAAGGCACCAAAATATAAGAAGCAAGACTTTCTATCTTGAGGCAAATGATTGTAACTCAGTCCAACAATCTTCAGGCATCTCTGATGTTCGTCTTTTTCTATAAGGTACTTGCCAACATTTTCCTTGACTACCCTCCAATCAATTACGTTCGTACAACCTCTTAAAGCTCCTGCAATTACCATAATTGTAAGTGGTACAATGCCTTCTCCAAGTTCTACTAACTCAACAGACAACGACTTTTGCCAAAATCTCTCTTTTCCAACAGCTGAAAACTTTCCTTCTGAGTCAGAAACTTGAGATTGTGTGTTATAAATAACACTGCTGAAATGGACGCCGACAAAGATGACACTTCGGAAGGAAACCTCATGGACATTCAACCTGTGTTGAGGCCAAGCGCACGTGTCAAACAACCCTCAAAGAAGTTAACTGATTTTATTGTGTGAATTAGTATAAATACCTAGGGATAGATCTGAGTGAGGGTAGGCAGTTTAATGCAGTAAACCCGCTGTTCTATTATTGTAAAATCGTCATTGTTTGGGTGCTTGTTTTAGTCCGTAAAGAGACTTAACAAGTCTACATACCTTCTTTTCTTTACAAATGCGAGCGAGCGACGACGACGGCACGAGGCTTGCTTTCTTCTTAATTCTTTAAGAGCTACAAGAAGAGCAATTATATATATACCCACCAAAAATCTTTTCCTCTTCCAATATGGGACAATGTCTCATTGTCAAGAGGGGAAAACTTAAAATTTTACTCAAAAATTTTATTTTCCCTCCATTTCCCATTCACCCTCATTTTAAGACTATTTCATCTTAAATAACAAAAACCTCAACACTTAGGGTCTCTTGGCTAGTGGTTACTGACTATGCCACTCACCTCTTTGAATTTTTTCATCAAGGAACAACTATCAGTTGGAAAGGAGAGGCACCGACTGATGCTCAACCAGTGCAATTACACAGTATAAGACGGTATGCAGCCACATATGCTATTTCGTCTTATTTTTGCTTGCAAGTAGTTCCTTCAGAATCTTCACCCACTGATGAGGTACCGCCTGATTTAGTAGCTATCCTTGCTTCATTTGTTGATGTTTTTCAAAAGCTGCAGGGACTACCACCTGTCCGACCTCAGGATCACGCTATACATCTATTACCAGGGGCTGAGCCAGTAAATGTTAAGCCTTGTAGGTATCCCTATTTCCAGAAACAAGTCATGGAACAATTGGTTGCCGATATGCTCAAAGAGGGAGTCATCAGGGCAAGCACTAGCCCCTTCTCATCCCCGATCCTACTTGTTCGTAAAAAAGATGGAACTTGGATATTTTGTGTGGACTATAGAAGCACTCAATGCAGTAACTGTGAGGGATAGATTTCCTATACCAACCATCGATGAACTTTTTGACGAGCTACACGGTGCAGTTTATTTTTCTAAACTCGACCTGCTCTCAGGGTACCATCAAATTAGAGTTCGACCTGAGGATATAGTGAAGACAGCATTTCGAACACATGATGGACAGTACGAGTTCCTAGTAATGCCATTTGGATTGTCAAATGCTCCCTCCACATTTCAAGCGACTATGAATGAGATGTTTAGACCATATTTGCGTCGCTTCGTATTGGTGTTCTTCGACGATATTCTGGTTTATAGTTCCACTTGGAAAGACCAAATGGATCATTTGCAAGCTGTGTTGTTAATTCTTAGACAACATCAGCTCGTTGCAAAGTGAGCTAAATGTCTCTTTGGCCAAACCTCTGTGGAATATTTGGGGCCTGTGCTTTCAAATCAAGGTCTTAGCGTGGATCCTTGTAAAATAGTTGCTGTCCAGCAGTGTNAAACCTCTGTGGAATATTTGGTACATGTGCTTTCAAATCAAGGTCTTAGCATGGATCCTTGTAAAATAGTTGTTGTCTAGCAGTGGCCGGTACCCAAAAATGTCAAGGATGTGCGTAGTTTTCTTGGTCTTGCTGGATATTACAGACGATTCATACATCATTATGCAACTATTGCAGGACCTCTTACGGATTTGTTGCGGAAAAATTCCTTTGTATGGAGNACCAATTGTTGCGGAAGCCAAATGTATATAGTGTGAATGAGTCACAACTACTATACCAAAAATTATGACAACCACTAAATAATAAACAAGACAATAAGACAACAATAAAAGAACACCAGAATTTACGAGGTTCGGCCAATTTTGCCTACTTCCTCGGACACAATTAATATTTTATTCCACTCCAAAATTACAAGTGAAATAATACTAAAGAGAGAAGATATAAATGCCTTAAGAAGATAAAAGGGCAAATGGGAGGTGTGTATAAATCCTAAACATTAGGCCTCCTTTTATAGGGTGAAATTCCCATTCAAAATTATTATCCACCGATGTGGGACTTTTGACA